GCATTCCCACCAACAGTGTAGGAGGGTTCCCCTTTCTCCGCATCCCCGCCAACATCTGTCGTTTCCTGACTTGTTAATTTTAGCCATTCTGACTTCACCAGTCTTTTCTAACTCATCTCTGACATCTGGATTTAAACTTTAGTTCCTCAGGGGCATCTTCTCTGACCCCTAGGGCAGGTAAGCCTCCTCCTTTCTGCCTCTCTAACTCCCAGTTTTCTCCTAATACTCTAGTATCCTCTTATGATAAGACTTACCACATTTTATTGCAGTTACTTATTCATCTATCTTCCTTTCTAGACCATGAGCTTCATGGGAGCTGAAACCAATCATTGTATCCCCAGTCCTTAAAAACAGTGCCTGACAAGATTTGATCAGATGCCTCATCAAGGAGATATACAGATGGCAAATAAATACATGCAAAGATGTTCAATAATATTAGTTATTAAGGAATTCCAAGTTAAAATTACAGCATGGCTAAATGATGAAGACTTACCTTACCATATTGGTGAGAACATGGAACACCTGGAACTCTCACATGCTGCTGATGGAAATGTAAAATTGTGCATCCACTTTTGAAACAGTTTAGCAGTTCCTTAAAAAGTTAGACATACACCTGGCATACAACACAGCCATTCTAGTCCTAGGTATTTACTCAAGGGAAATGAAAGCATATGTCTATACAAAATCTTGTGCACGAATGTTTATAGCAGCTTTGTTTGTAATAGCCCCAAACTAGAAACAAATGTCCATCAACTGGTAAATGGATAAACAAATTTTCATATGGTGGAATACTATACACAACAACATGGATGAAGAAAAAAATTATACTGGATAGAAAGCAAGACCATAAGAGTACATAGCATTTGATTCCATTTATATAGAACCCTAGGAAAAAGCGTATAATCTCTTAGTGATGAAAACAGATCAGTGGTTGCCTATCATTGGGTAGGAGGATGGAGTGAAAGATGGATTTCAAAGGAATATAAGGAAGCTCCTGGGGGTAATGGATATGTTCATTATTTTCATGGCAGTGATGGTTTCATGGGTTTATATATGTCACCTGATCAAACTGATCAATGTTTCAAATACATGCAGTTCATTGTATGTCACTTTGTATCTCAAAGCTGTTCCCCCCACAAAACCTGACCTATTATAGGCCCTCAGAATTCATTTATTGAAAGGCAGAAGGACTACCACTGGTGATGTAGAGATGCTTCTATAAGAGTAGAAAATCTAGGGGCTCAGATCGTGCTGGGCCTTGAAGTTCAGAAGAGTTTGAATGTTGTACAGAAAAGCAATTCTGGCATTTGATGATCAGAGGCAAGGTTTAATGAAATCAATTAGGAAAATCCTTTTGGCAGCAGTGTGCAGGACAGATTGGAAAGGGGTACAGAAAGACCAGTCAAAAGGTGTCTCAGTGATCTGCATATGTGATGATGATAAGGACCTGGCTTAGAGTGATGGCCTGAGCTTGGGAAGGAGGGAACAGTAGGAAAGATAATCTGAAGAGAGAATTGTCAAGACTTACAGAAGGAGTAAGTTTTTTATTGAGGACCTTTTATGGAATCGATACTGATTTAACAATTGACGAAGTTATTTCTGGTTTTTCTGGGGAGGAAGGCTGAGACTTCTCTAAAATGTAGCAAATGAAGGAGAGCTTTTTTCCCTGAAAATAAACCTAAGAGGACCGTTAGGTCCTTAAGGTAAGACTGTTTTAGGTGCCCTTCACCTTGTAGTTTGAGACTCAGAGCTGACTGAATTGGGTACCTGGGTACTTCCAGTGCTCTAGTTCTGCTTTTCCTCCATTGACTTACTGATGTTATAGCCTGGAGGCCAGGATCCTCAAATGCTGTTTAAGCAATCTTCCTAAAACTGAGCTCAACCATCTTACCTTGAATTTCCCTTAGGAGTGGATTTTTACAGCCTGAAAATCATAATTTACTGTATTCAGCCCTTGAGGTCCTTACCAACCGACTGAAGCAAGGAGAGCCCGACCAGTCCTTGGAGGAATTGCTCAGGTAGGTCAGACTACATATCCCAGAGTGTTGTCCCAAAAACTAAAACAGGATTAGCAAGGTTTCTTGGAAATCACTTGGGTGTCCTCTCAGTAGTTGTGAGGGAAACTGATGTTTTCAGCTACTTTTCCTCAGTCATATGAGCTTTTTCATCTGTGTATTCAGATAAATCCTGAAACATTAGAAACCGTTGAAAAAAATCCTACTAAATCTTTGGTATCCTGCATCCTGTAAAGTTGGCCTTTTTGGGTAATGATGTCGAAAACAGTAGTGACCGGTAGTCAACTCTTGATTTTCCAGAAATCTACTCAGTCTCTCCGTAGGGTCAGGTAATTAGGTAGCAGTAGTTACCACTGATTTCCTCCCAGTCTTGAAAGAAGAGGAGCCTAGGCTGAGGGCAAGGCAGTGGAAGAGGGAGGTGAAAAGGAGATCTAAGAGGCATGGTTCCCAGCTTCCTATCCCAGCTTCAACCAGAGTAATTTTGTCTTTCACCTCCTCTACATTGTCTCTGGATCTGCAATTAATGCTTATCATCCCTGCCTATAGGGCAAGACCTTACTTCATTTTAAATATAGTGCTTTTAAATTTGTTTGACCTCCTTCCCACAATCAATCAGGAGAGTACACTCTAGTTTTATTTCAACTACAGTTTTGGATTAATTTTGACTCCCCTCTCCCATTATTTCAGTGCATTGAAAGCTGACCATATATATATGGTACACTTATTAAAAGCTCTGCTTTCTCTGTCTTATAGTTTCCTTTCACTTTCCCTGTAAACCTAGAATTGAAACTTTATTCTCATTGTGTTGCCTTAGGCTTTAAGAGCAAATAATTTGTTCAGGGTTGCTCATGTAAGCATGGCGTAAACTCCTCTTTGGGTATCTTGGTGTACATGACCCCTTCCAAGCCAGCATTCCAGGCCCTGGGCTCTGTTCCGCCCTGGCTTTCTTCATAAAGGCTAAAGGTTCTCTATCAGGGTCTTGATAGAAGGTGGCCACAAAAGCACCTGAAAATGAGAAGGATTCTGATTAGACCAATAAATATGCAAGTCAACTTGGACAATTCATGAATTTAGACATATCTGTAACACTTGTCATATCTTTTTTATTCTTTCTTGTCTCCCTTACAGCCAGAGCTTCAATTACTTGCAGAATTTCTCTCACAGCGTTCCCAGTTTCCAGTGTGCTCTTTATCTCATCAGACTTTTGATGGTCATTTTGGAGAAATCTACAGCTCCTACTCAGAACAAAGAAAAAATTGGTGATGGGCCCAGATCCTCTTTTTTTTCTTCATGAATAGGATTAATAACTAACTCAAACTTACAAACTTAGGGCATCCTAGGACCTTGTATATTTTACATGTGAAACCCCCCATAAGAGTGGATGTGCCCTCTTGCCATATCAAGAAGGACATTTTCCCAGAAGGAGATATGACTGATTTCTGCTGATACTGCTTAGTCTGAGTTTGGTTAGTTCAGTTGGCTAGCTGATTTTCTGTTTGGCTTCTGTTTATTCGTGCCCTTTTTTTTTTTTTTTTCTTGTAAATTATCTGAGACATTTGACAAAAAGAGATACAAACTGCTAGGTTAATAAAATGGGAGAAAGGAGAAATCAAGATTTGATTAAGTGTAAAGAAAGGCTGGGCCCCATTCCTGATCCTTTTTTTTTTTTTTTAAGATTTTATTTATTTATTTAAGAGAGACACAGAAATAGGGAGAGAAAGCATGAACTGGGAGGAGAGGGAGAAGCAGGCTTCTTGCTGAGCAGTGAGCCCAATGCAGGGCTTGATCCCAGGACCCCAGGATCATGACCTGAGCCGAAGGCAGACACTTAACTGACTGAGCCACCCAGGCGCCCCTCCTGATCTTTTTCTTTAACTATTTTTTGTCATAGCTCTTTGAATGCAACTAATTATATATTCTAATTGGCAGCACACACAGGAAGCAAGAAGAAAATGCAAAACAAGCCTTTTATTATTTATTGTTGATTAAAAGGGGAGGGTTTTGTGGGAATCTTTAAGGTGGGCATGGCTTATTGATCTGCCCAGGAGGAACAAGATTGGTTGTCCTATTGCCCAGCAGTGTGTGTCTTTTGAGTTCACGTTTGTGTATGTGTCAGGGCAGGGTGAGATGGTGGGATGCATTGGGTCCTAGACAAACGGGTTTATTTCTGGTCGAAGGACCAGTAGAGCAGGAACCCATGGTAGCTTTTTCCAAATTGTCAGACTAGGAACTTCAGAGTAAATATTAAAAAAAAAACACAACAATCCTTTTGATCATTAATCATCCCCCAAAAACCTGAAAAACAAGAGTATAGTCAATTTTCCATGCATGAGGGGTGCCTGGGTGGCTCAGTCGGTTAAGCGGCTGCCTTTGGCTCAGGTCATGATCCCAGGGTCCTGGGATAGAGCCCCACATCAGGCTCCCTGCTCAGCGGGAAGTCTGCTTCTCCCTCTCCCACTCCCCCTGCTTGTGTTCCTGCTCTCGCTATCTGTCTCTCTGTTAAATAAATAAAATCTTTAAAAAAAAAATTTTTTTTTTCCATGCATGAGGGTGTTTGTCTTGCTTCTCCATCAGCTTCGTTGGCCAAACAGTTTCTCTGTCGGGTGTGGCCAAGTGGGGAGAAAGAGAAGAGTAGCATCCCTACTGAACAGCTCCAAACTTTGCTCAGGTGAGAGGCTTGGTTTCTTTCCATGAGCCAAATAGTCCATTTTGCCATTGTTGGGATCTCTTGCAAGGTGCCTAGGAACCCAGGTGCCCCACTGGTTCTTTTTTATACTGTCAGCTAGTTCCTGACTAGCTGGAGGAAATGGAGGCGTCTGCTGTTGTATTTTGCCTTGTTAATCAGAGTTAGGTAATAATTTGTTGCCTACTATATCCAAGACTCATCCATCACTTCCAAAGTGTCTAACTGTATTTCCAATTGAAACATCATTTCCTTTATCTCCTGATAATTACCTGGAATCTTCATTTGATTAAAAATAAATGCTCGTAGGGGTGCCTGGGTGACTCAGTAGGTTAAGCATCTGCCTTAGGCTCAGGTCATGATCCCGGGGTCCTGGGATCGAGCCCTTCGTAGGGCTCCCTGCTCAGCTGGAAGTCTCCTCCTCTCCCTCTGCTCCTTCCCCTGCTCGTGCTCTCTCAAATAAATAAAATCTTTAAAAAAAAGTTAATAGGGGCGCCTGGGTGGCTCAATCGTTAAGCGTCTACCTTCGGCTCAGGTCATGATCCCAGGGTCCTGGGATCGAGCCCTGCATTGGGCTCCCTGCTCAGCGGGAAGCCTGCTTCTCCCTCTCCCACTCCCCCTGCTTGTGTTCCCTCTCTCGCTGTGTCTCTCTCTGTCAAATAAATATATAAAATCTTTTTAAAAAACTTTATAAACACTAGTAGTTGTTTTAAAGCTAAGTACCTGGTGGGATGACTGGGTGCTCAGTTGGTTAAGCAACCAACTCTTACTTTCTGCTCAGGTCATAATCTCAGGTTCATGAGATTGAGCCCTGTATCAGGCTCCACGCTCAGTGCAGCGTCTGCTTGGAATTCTCTTCTCCCTCTCCTTCTGCCCCTCCCCCTGCTTGCATGGGTGCACCCACACACGCTCTCTCTAAATAAATAAAATATTTAAATTTAATAAATAAATAAAGCTAAGTACCTGGTAATATGTCAAGAAAGAAATCTTGATTTAGGAATTCTGGTAACGTGTGTTTATATTCCTGTGGCTCTCAATGCAGCATTTACCTGGAGCATACAAACAGTGTTCTGAAGGCCATAGAGGAGATTGCTGGGGTTGGTGTCCCAGAACTGATCAATTCTCCTAAAGATGCATCTTCTTCCACGTTCCCTACCCTGACCAGGTAAGGGAGTTCTCTCCTCCAGTTTTTTTCCCTAATTAGAATCACACTGTCCAATGTATGTGGTTTCCAAATAACTACCTTACCCTTCATTTAATTTTTGTTTTGTTTTGTTTTTATTATGCACTACATTAATACATTGCCTTACCGTCTAGAAGGGGTAGATGAGTATGACGGAGTTATTTTTCATCAGTCAGGAAAATGCTTCCTTAATCGATATTCTCCAAACCCTTTGACACATAGTAACGATTCTCCAGAGACCCGCCTATCTCTTTGCATCAAACTCCACTGATATGGATAATAGGCATCCCTTTTTTCCTTGCCTCCATTACTGAACCTGTGGATGTGCGCTGTGGCTACGCAAGGGATGACCAAGCACACGGCCATGATGCCAATCCCGGGCAGGATCTCGAACCACATCGCAGTGCGGTTGCCAGGGCCAAACCCTGCCTTCCTGGCCCGGTAAAGATGACCCGGCCTCGGCCCCCTTCCCAGTAGGCTCACCCTTCATTTAATTCTGATACAGATGGTAGGTACAGTCATTCATTCAACACATAGAATGTCTACTGTGCCTTTTTTTCAAGGGGCTCTCAGCCAACCCATGTGAAAGGACCTTAGTGAGGAATGAATTTTCAGTAGTCTTCAAAGACAATGAATATTTAGTCATCAAACATCTCATGTTAGTACTTTCATCCTTTAAAAGTGAGACTAATATTTTAACCACCTTTAGGATAAAGTGTTGTGTCTAATCATGTACATCTCAATGGGTTTTTTATCTCATACAAAGTTTATAAAGCACTTTCACATTCTTTATGTCATTCGATCCTTTCAATGATTCTGTGAGGTAGGTATTATTATCCCTGTTGTACTGATGAGGAAAATGAGCATTACAGAGGGAACTTACTCAGACTTACACAGGCAGTATGGAATTAGGAACTTGAACTTGGATCTTTTTACCACTACCTCACAGCTCCTTCCATGCCACTACACGGTCTCCCTTCATAAAGTTAATTCCTTTATTTGACAGGCCATCTTCTTGGGCTCCTTTGTGAATCCTTTCCACTCCCCTATCCTTTAACAGTGGACCCTAGTGAAAGGAAGTTCTGAGAGGTGGGGGAAGGAAATGACTTTTGATTCCTTGACTTCTTCCTTGGAAGTTCTTTCTAACCCGTCGTTGTTGTGTGAGCATGCATGTTTTCCCCTCTTTAGGCACACCTTTGTCATTTTCTTCCGTGTGATGATGGCTGAACTAGAGAAGACAGTAAAGGGTCTTCAGGCTGGCACAGCAGCAGACTCACAACAGGTGGGTCAGATATTCCCACCACAAGAGGTAGACCTGGTTACTAGGAAGCTGCTGCATCTTCTATTTCTTGGGTCCAGGGTTTCTTCTAAACTACTTCCTTTGAGTTAGAGAGATCCAGGATTCTTTGTCAAAGAGTTCCTGGTTTAATTTCCTTTCCTTCCAGTTTGAGGGAGGATTGGGCTCTATACTCCCTGGCTACTGCCCAGAGGAAGGCTCAGACTGCTCCATAAGCAAGCCCTAGCTCTGGAAAAAATGTCTTTGGTCTCAGCCTCCCATGCCCGGCAGTTTGCTGCTCGTGCGCTGGCATGAGGTGAGCAGGCCTGTTTAAGATGCTGTGCTGCTGCCTGTTAACCAGAACTGAGCTAGACCGCTGAGAGCGTAGGAATCAGAGAAGCCGCAGGGATCTGGTCACCAGCAGGTATGTTGCAGAGGCTTTTTCCTACTTGGAAGTTCCTGAAGAGGAGTCCTCTTTAGAAACTCTCTATAAGGCACCCTATGCAGGCCTCAGAATCATCTTGTGGGTGCACTGGTAACATCTGAGAGAATAATTGGCTTAAATTAATCTTTGAATAGCTATGTAATCCAAGACCCATATATTAGTGGAAATACAGTAAGAGAAGTACTTGGCTGGTTCAGAAGTACCTATATATTTGGTTGCCCCCAGATTCATGAAGAGAAGCTCCTCTACTGGAATATGGCTGTTCGAGACTTCAGTATCCTCATCAGCCTGATAAAGGTGAGTGTGCAGGCTCCTTGACCCACCTCACCAGCTAACTACAGAAACCGAGAAGGGTCCTGGCTTCCAAAATGGACTCTCCCTGCTCGTTTCCCCTCCCTTTCTTGGGGACCTGTTCTCACCTTTCTTTTTCCCTTGTCCCACTACCCATCCTGGATAATCCTTTCTTCTCTCCCGAGGCAGTGTCTTTTTCCTTCTCTTTCTTTCTCCTTCCCTATCTGTGCCACAATACTATTTAATGGCTCTCACCTTGTCTTGGGTCCTCTGTGACCCGAGCACATTCCCACTGTCTCGTTCTTCCAACCCTGAATGCTTTCTTTATCCCATACACTCTGTACTCTTACCCACTCCATGATTTTGCTAGGCTATTCTCCCAGCTCAGAATGTCATTCTCTCTCCTTCCACCTCTCATCTATTTTTTTTTTTAAGGCTTCACATCAAGGTTTGGATTTCTATAATGCCATCTTCTTAATATCCTGAGTTAGAATTCTTACTCTTTGCTTCCCTGTTCCTTTTTTGAACTTCAGTGATGGTGATTACTTTATTCTGTTTCATAATTAATTTAATTGTTGACATGCCTTCTTCATTTTAGAATTCTCTATGACACCCAGAGCTGTGCTTTGCACAATGGGGAAGAGGCTGGCGGTGCTCAAACAAGCAGACCTCAGCTTTGGTTTCTTGTCTTTTGTATCTCCAGGTGTTTGATAGTCGTCCTGTTCTGCATGTATGTTTGAAGGTGAGAGATTGACCTGGCCCTCTTTTTTTTTTTTTTTTAAGACTTTATTTATTTGTCAGAGAGAGACACAGCGAGAGAGGGAATACAAGCAGGGGGAGTGGGAGAGGGAGAAGCAGGCTTCCTGCTGAGCAGGGAAGCCCAATTCGGGGCTCGATCCCAGAACCCTGGGATCATGACTTGAGCCGAAGGCAGATGCTTAACTGAGCCACCAGGCGCTCCTTGACCTGGCACTCTTTAGTATTTATTCTTCCTGTGGATCTTTCTAGAAATGGCCTCAGCTGAAAGGAGTTGCTTAATACTTTGCCCACAAGCCAGATTTTTCGGAATCTGTGCTAACAGGTGGTAGTTTAGAAAAGACAGTGGATATGTTTTCCCACAGTAGTGGGATGACTGGAGAAGCTGATTTTCCTATGAGTTTGAAAACTTTTGACCTGAGTCTGAGAACTATGGGGAGTGGCTTCAGGACAGCTGACTTCAGGAGCACTAGTCACTCCTTGCCATTCCTTCCCAGGCAATAGGGAGGAAGGAGTGGTGGGTGATTCCTCTTTTTATTTTATTTTAATTAATTAATTTTTTAAAGATTTATTTATTTATTTGAGAGAGAGAAAGAGTACACATGCACACAGGGCAGAAGGGCAGAGGGAAAGGGAGAGAGTTTTAAGCGGACTCCACTCTGAGTGCAGAGCCTGATGCAGGGCTCCATTTCATGACCTTGAGATCATAACCTGACCTGAAATCAAGAGTTGGACGCTTAACCAACTATGCCACCCACACATCCCCGATTCCTCTTTTTAAAGCCCATGGCTGGCCTCATGAATGTGGAAGCTGGTATCCTGATAACCCAAACTTGTCTCCCTGGGGGAGAGCCCAGATTAGCCCTAGATTTGATGATGGGTTAGGAGCTAGGAAACGTTATGAGGAGAATGTGTCTTTCCCACTCCTTATGGCTCCTTCCAATTGGATGGCGCCCCATTCTTGTTATCCCCTGGTTCCTCTCTTCCTCTTTACTCCACCCTGGTGCCAGTGCAGAAGATGGGTAAGAAGGGGGAGTGATTTATCTGATTGGTAGATTTGGCAGTTAGTTATGTACTTCCTCAGCTCTACACGGTTTTTTTCCTTTTGTGAGTAAGTGGTTCTCAGACAGCTGGTCCACCTGTTTTCTATGGCCTCTGCCCATTGGCTGTGTCTAGGATAGTTAAGTCTGCCTAACTCTTAGGCTTAGTTAGAGGCCCATTTAGTTTTTGCATTAAGCTTACATTTTCCAAATTAACTTTTGGACTCTTCCCAGTTTATTTTTTTATATACGAAAATAAGAAAATAAAACCCCTGGGCTGGGTGATGCTATGCTACCTCAGGCAGGGGCTCTTTGTGTGCAAGACCTCAGTAGGGGTCATCACCAGTGCGTCTCTTCTCTTCTTCAGTATGGACGTCTCTTTGTGGAAGCATTTCTGAAGCAGTGTATGCCGCTCCTAGACTTCAGTTTTAGAAAACACCGGGTAAGAACTGAGAGCACAGAAGAAAGATGGGTTCTGTACAATTGCTCAGAAGATCTATCCATGGTGGCTCCTAGGCTGGGAGTGGGGGCGGTCCCCTTGCCCAGGTTCTGGGCCACAGTTCTACTCTGGCTCCTTTGATCCACTTCAGCTATCACCAGAGATTCCCATATTGGACTGAATATTCCAAAGTAGGCTGAACTTTAGACCCACTCTGATTAAACCCACCTTTCTACTTCTACGCCAGATCTGAGGGTGGTTGCTCCTTTTAGCTTGGTTTTATTGTGTTGCTACACTCCTAGGACCTCAATATCAGTGTGTCATTTGCTTATTCCTTTGTGCTTGTCTAAGTCTACCCTCAGGAATAATAATAATTCATGTGTGTCATAAACTCTTTGCTGTTGTAATGGGTAGTCTTTTTTTTTTTTTTTAATTTTTATTTTTTAAAGATTTTACTTATTCATTAGAGAGAGAGAGCACGAGCAGGAGGAGGGGCAGGGAGAGATGGAGAGGGAGAAGCTGACTCCCCGCTGAGCAGGGACTGTGATGTGGGGCTTGATCCCAGGGCCCCAAGATCATGACCTGAGCCAAAGTCAGACACTTAACCGACTGAGCCACCCAGGCGCCCCTGTAATAGGTAGTCTTGAGAGGTTTTTTTGGGCCAAGTGAGATCCAGGGTTATAGTAATGAAATAAGGATAGTAACAAAGGTGATGATTTCTTACACATATTTAGCAAGTTTGCAAGACACTCCCACAGTATTTGGTTGGTTCCTCATAACCTAGAAAGAAAGGGGGGGATAGCTAGTTAGCCCTAGCTTCAAGGGCCAAATTGAGATGATTGCTAATACACAGCTGGAACCTGTGGAGCTTATCCTCTTTGGAGCCCTTGGTTGCATCTAAAATGAAATGAGAGCATTTAATATGGCATTTATGATTTTGTTGGTTGTAGGAGGATGTTCTGAGCTTACTGGAAACCTTCCAGCTGGATACGAGGCTGCTTCATCACCTGTGTGGGCATTCCAAGGTAAGAAGGAAAGCAGGTCATGGCACCAGCCTGCCTGTTGGCTTAATCAGCAGTGTGATTAGGAGATCCACAGGCTCCAGTTCCTTCTTCCTTTTTTACTCTTCTTGAGTCTTTATTTTTGAGACTGTCTGTCCAAAGGCAGTTTAATTCAGAGTGCTCAGATCCTTAGTTGCTAGTTGAAATTGGGCAGTCATGTAGAGGGCAGTTTCTGCATCTGAAGTTTGACTCAAACTCCATAGCTCTATTTCCTGTAGAAGCTTCTCTTTGGTGAGAGATATAGAATGTTGGTGGACGTGTTGCTTCTATAAAGTACTCGGGGTGGGAGGAATATTATGTAAGTGATGATTCTTTGCTAGAGACAAGAGGTGGTTCTAAAAGCAGACATCTTCAGAGCTTTTCAGCTGTACTATTTACTTGTCAAGGAACACATCTGTCTCTTGTGAGAACATTTTACCATTAGAGGATTTTTCCACTTAAAGCCTACAGTTGAACCATTGTCACTTTTTGTCTGAAGAAACACAGAACCATAGAACTCTGTAGTCATGGGCAAACCAAATTCTTTTTCAGTCCAGTTTCTATTGCTCACTTCTTCCCCTGGTTCTAACTTTAGAATTTGTTGAACAATGGAGTTTTAGGGACACCTAGCTAAATAGGGATACTCTGTTGTTTAATATCAGTATAATACATGTTCAAGAACATTTTAGGTAAATTCATTGATAATTGGTCAATAAGAGGTTATGAAGAAGAACCTAAGGTGTTGGTGGTATGTCTTCTAGGCTCTTTTACCTTGAAGGGGAGCTGCCATTCTCTTCAGAGTACTCTGCCAAACTACTGTTTAATGGAATATGTCTCTGACCTATACTGGAAGGACTTATGCTCTTATTCAGTGTTGAAGATGTCAGGAATTCAAAAGTTTCTGTATAGGAATGTGAAAGCATGATAAATCCAGATGAGTTGGGTGCTTTTGTTTCCATTTAGATTCACCAGGACACGAAACTCACCAAACATGTGCCTTTGCTCAAAAAGACCCTGGAGCTTTTAGTTTGCAGAGTGAAAGCCATGCTTATCTTCAACAATTGCAGGGAGGCTTTCTGGCTGGGCAACCTCAAAAACCGGGACTTGCAGGTAAGCCTAGGGCCCAGCCCAAGATAATCTACTCCCACTCTTTGTGAGAGCATTAGAAGGTATGTCAAGGAGGTCAACTAAGCCTTGTTCTCTCTATAAGACTGCCTTTCTCTTAAGGCTGTGGCCATTTACCTTTTAAAGTTAGGAGACACTGCTTCTGGTCTTAGTCATGGGTTCCACCCCTCATCCTAGCCAGCAAAGGCACCAAAACATACCACTGATAACAACAAGGCTGCAGCGATAGAAGAGCCAGATCAATAAAACCTCTCTCCTTAGCCAGAGTGGACTCCTGTAAGTACTACCGGGGGTAGATTCATAATAACAATTGTTTATGTGGACAAACTTTTTAAATTGTTTTGGGTCTTTTTCTAAACCACTCTGTCTTATTCCTGAAATTATTCTCTGCCTAATTTTTTTTTTTAGCCTTGTAAGTTGATTTTAATTTTTTATTGTTCTCTGCCTAATTTTAACAAATAAACATTTCTAAGGTGTTTGAACTGTCTGGCTGAAATCTTATATGGCTATAGTACTCCTTTGGAGTTTTAGCAATTTTCATATAGGATCCAAGTCCTTCTCATTCATGTTTACAATAGGTGAGGGGTTTATAATCTTATATATGAGAAGAATAGCACCCCAGAGACTTTGTTTCCTTTCTTCACATTTGCTCTATGAGGTACTATTATTTCCATGATACTATTAAACAAAATACTATAATAAAACAATACTGTTGTTTCCATGAGAAAAGTGAAGCTTGGAGAGGTTAAGTAACTTACCTAAAGTCATTCAGCAATAAGTGAGAGGTGCCAGGGTTTGAGTCCAAAGAGAAAGGATGAAAAGCTGATGTTCTTAAACCACTTTGTATACTGTCTTTCAGCCTCAACATGGCCATTTGTAGTTGGTGTGTCGGTGGTCATATACTTTAAGGTCTTTGGGAAATTTCAGAACAATATTTACCAATACATCCTGGCCTTGTAAAATCTAGTATGATATTAGAATACAGCAATGGACTTTTTGTAAAACTACATATTATATTAGAGCCACACATATCTCAGAAACCTTGGGTTGATTATCACTTCTCTAGATACTAAATCACAGGTTGATGTCCGTGTTTGACCATGTTTGAATGCCTAGAGTATTATCTTTTCTATTGCCTTTAAACTAAGCCTTTCTCCCCTTGAAACCCCAAATATGATAATTATAACCCACCATTTGTCTTGGCCCATTCACATTTAGGGTGAAGAGATTAAGTCCCAGAACTCCGAGGAGAGTGAGGATGATACAGCATCCCAGGTTTCCAAGAGCAAAGCAACGGAGGTATCTCTGCATAAGGCCCAAGTGTGCAGTTGATTGATGTATTTTGTTAATTATTCTGAGTCAGTAGAAAGTATAGAAATTTTACTGTTTATGGGGTTTTTTTTTTAAGTTTATTTATTTTAGTTACCTCTATAGCCAACCTGGGGCTTGAACTCACGACCCCAAGATCAAGAGTTGCGTGCTCTTCCAACTGAGCCAGCTAGGCACCCCCTCCCTGCTTATGTTTTTTTTTTTTTTAAAGATTTTATTTATTTATTTGACAGCGAGAGAGACAGCGAGAGAGGGAACACAAGCAGGGGGAGTGGGAGAGGGAGAAGCAGGCTTCCC